GATATTTGAAAGAACTTTATAATTTGAAAATTGTGTACCTTTCAAAGCTTTGTTTCATGATTTCAGACGTTTATTACTGTACAATAGAGTCTATCATATCCTATGGCTTCTGAATTTGTTCAGGGACTTTATAATTTGTTTTATCAAGCACTCCTGAAAGTCCAGCTCTATACTGAAAAATGAGAATTAATGTTCAGTATGTTCTTGAGGGCAGCAACATCCCCACCCTACTGTAGAGGGTTTTTTTCTTAAATCAGAGTAACCAGCTTTTTTGGATTTATAGGCACATTTCAAATTTACACACAAAAGGACTCTTATACAATAGTTGCCATGGGAATTGCCTATTAACAAAATGGTTGTAACAGTAGCTGTGTTGAGTCAAACATTTTCATTTACTGAAGACAAATTGGTGAGGTATTTTTCTGCTTCCCTCTCAGTTCGCCCACAATGTTTCTAAACTCCTTTGCTTACCTTTCCATTGTTTCTGGACAAATGCTAGCATATTTCTAAACAAGAACTAGGTGGTAGCGACCCATTTTTCATTTAAGAATGCCTAAGGGTCTGATATGTTATGCAGCATGTTTGCCGTCCTGATTTTTTTTTTTTATTAAAAATTTAAAATACAGTGGGAGAACTGGACCTGATAAACACCAAAGGATGTATCTGTAGATACACATTGCTATGTTCAGGCACTGTACTGTCTAACCATCCATATAAATTATATTGCTATCATTTATAACCCAACCTTTTAAAAAGGCTATAAAATTGTCCTAAATTGGCCCATAAAGTTCTCATCTTATCAACATTATACATTTTATTTATTACATTGTTGGTGCATTCTACTTTATGTCTTAACAGGTTTTCTGTAATTTACTTTAGGTTGATAAAGAGTGACTGTCTCAGTCATATATTCTGCTAATTCTCCTTCTATGTGAAATTGTGTGGGTAATATAACATTTCTTGGTAAAAGTTGCTATCTTTATAAATTATGTGGAAGCCTAGACCTGAGGATCTGCCAATGGTCTGAAATTCATTGCATTAAGTAACAAATATTTTAAAAATACACAAATCACTTCTGGCTGGCAAATGAAGGGAACATATTCTTGAACCACTCAAGAATAGCCCTAATTTATCTTGCTATTTAAACTTCTTTTCTTTCCATCCAGACTAAAGAATTGCTAATTACAGTAATGCAGACTTAATTTATACTAATATAAATAACACCACACAGACTTCAGAACTGGCATTAGGACGTTGTGCAATTTCTGACAAATACTATTTCAAAGAAAATATATAATAGCTTTTTGGGCTGCCCTAATTTACAAGCCATTATGTCTTTGATTGGCATCTTGAAATGGCCCCATCTGTAGTTTCCATAACAAAAGAGCTTAATATACTGAAGGCAATGATGTAAACTTGCATGGAAAAATATAGTGCCATCATTATAGCTTTTATGAAAACTTTGTCAAAAGTATTGATGTCTTTAAAAGGACAACTGCTTTCTCTACTCTATGTCAAATCATATTACTTAAATTAAATACTGCATATTGGGCTGTTCAACATGCACCTTCATAATTTGAACTCCTGCAAACTAAGAGAAGCGAACTGGAAAAGGTGAGAGATTCCTGCAAAAGAAAAACCTGTTTCAGGCTAACATGCAACTAATAAAGGGTAGGTCTGCTGCATTCCCACCACAGAATTGATCTGCTGCTCTTCTGAAGTAAGCCCCCTTGAGAACCTGCTAGCTCTTAGCTCTCTGTATTTGTATACTATATATGTTTTGGGTTAAAACTGACCCTCTTTAAACAACTGCTGACTCAGTTTAGCTACTCATATGATCTCCACATAAAATGCCATATAAGAGAATTTTGCACCTAATATTAAAGTTGCAGCAAGAAACTATTGAAATAATGAAAGTGTCTTGACATATTCATATCACTTTTACTCATAATATAATTTATCACCCATAAGAACAAGTTTTACTTTCCCAAGGAATTCTAACAAACTTGCAAAGAATTTCCAAAAATCAAAACAAACTACATTGTGGTTGAGAAATCCTGTTTCCTTATGTTATCATTTTGCATTACCTAGGGGAAGTACATATCTCATTACTGAGATAACACTGAAGAGTTTAAAACTTCGAACTCTAAATATCCGGGGAGAGGTTATACACTGTACAATTGCATTATTCTTTGTTAACAAGGGGAGAAAAGATGTGCAGACCATAATCAAAATAGAAAAGTCTTTTTTGTAATAAATGAACAGCATATTTTTTAAGTAGGTTGTATATATGAAGAAGCCCCAATATTGAGATTAATAAACTGCCACATTTCAAGGAAGGCTAAGGAAACTGCTAAATTAAAGTGCAGTGCAACGTGAAACATTATGGTCAGCTGGGAACAGAATGTCAATTCAATAAGTTAAAGCCATAAAGCAAAATTTCAGGTGAAAGGGTTCAGTTGTTTCTCTGATGAAAATATATAGGCTGAAATTATCCCAAAAAGAGGAGAGAAATTATGGATCAAGAATTGGCTGATATAAGTTTAGTGATTCATAGAAAAAAAAGTTACTTTTTAAAAAAGTTTATTGACATCTGCTGAAGTAGAAAGAGGTAGTATATCTTTTTCTTTTATTCTTAGAAAAAAATGGAAGTAAAAAATCTATCTGGGATGGCATTCAAAAAAAACCTGAACAACACAATGAAGATGTTTCTTATCTATGTTTGTTTCCTTGTTATGAAATTTATTGTTCTGTGAGAAAGAGTTCTGCTATTTTCATCAAAGTGATCATTCTTTTTATATCCAATTTCATTTCAAACTTTGAAAAAAGAAAGGATGGACGTTTGCCATTCAGCAGATATGAGTAAGTGACAAATTCAGGAAGTATGGGCAGAGAGAGGAAGAAAGGACTGAAAATTGGCAAAAGCATGAATGTCAATACTTTTTGAACCAAGATTACAGTGTATACACAGCATCATTGCAATAGAGGAAGAACTTCCTTTCTCTGCCTGTAGGAAGTTAGAAACCAGCAGTTTATGTATGTTTACAGGAGTGTTCTTTGGCCTAAAGGTTTCGATTTGATTTAGAATATAGAATAACAGAGTTGGAAGGGACCTTGGAGATTTTCTAGTCCAACCCCCTGCTTAGGCAGGAAACCCTACACCACTTCAGACAAATGGTTATCCAACATGTTCTTAAAATTTTTCAGTGTTGGAGCATTCACAACTTCTAGAGGTAAGTTGTTCCACTGATTAACTGTTCTAACTGTCAGGAAATTTCTCCTTAGTTCTAAGTTGCTTCTCTCCTTGATTAGTTTTGCTTCTTGTCCTACCCTCAGCTGCTTTGGAGAATAGCTTGACTCCCTCTTCTTTGTAGCAGACCCTGAGATATTGGAACACTGCTATCATGTTTCCCCGGTCCTTCTTTTCATTAAAGAGAGTCTTTTCAGTCATTGCCCCTTCCCTCTGGAACATTCTCCCCTTCCCTGGGAGGTGAAGCAGGCCCCACACCCTCCTATGGCCTTGCTTGAGGCTCACATAGGAACACAAAGCTGTGGAGCTGATTAGCACTCTGAAAGCTCTCTCCCATCTTTTAATTCACTTTCACACAGATTTTTAAATTCATCCTTGCCGTCTAAATTTTTATACATTGTTTTTAATGTTTTAATATTTTATCAGTATAATGCCCAATGTTCCTCTATGAGAGAGATGGACAGTTTTTAAATTTGATAAATGAATGAATGAATAAATAAATAAATAAATAAATAATAACAGTCTATAAATGGTGCAGCTTTATATAATAAAGCATTTTTATTTTTAAAAAAGGCTATTTCAATCTTTCCCACAGAAATTCTGCCACTGATTTCTTATTCCAACTGTAATTCCTTTAAATTGGGATGAAAGGCTGATTAAGAAATTAAATTTATTTCTGAGCAAAATTGAATTGTGATTATACCTTAGACCTCTACACTAAATATTTAAAAACTTCAAGGATTCTGAAGTTATGATCAAGGAAAATTCAAGAATATGCTTTGAGGAAAACATATTAACTTAAATCTCAGTTTCACACCAAATCTTAGAGACAGCTAGGTTGTGTCTATACATAAGTAAAAATCCATACAATTCTGAAATAGCTAAGTGCTTTATAGCCTTTTTCATCTAGTTTAGGAAATGAGAAACTTCAAAGATTCAGTGTGTCCAAACAAATCAGTATTTTCATCAATGCAATTTTCAGCAATAAATGTTAAGATTCACCATACTATCCAAGATTAAGCAACACATCTTCACTGACTTATTCTCAACAAATTTGGCAGCAGCAATGAACAAGGTCTGGGCAACTGGCCAAAACATGCTTATCTCTTACAACCTTCTTGAGTCAAAGAAATATGCTCAGGAAAATTATGTAGCAGAGCTGATATTCTGTTACTATAAATCTTTCTTTTTCTTCTATTTTCATTTCACTGTCGTTTGGATCCTATTCTCAACTTTCAAAGGTCTTCATGAACCAGTCTCAAATCTATTGAACAGCACTGTAGTGATGAAGATAAAATTTTCTAAAGTTCTAAAAGTAACAGGATGCATATTTAATATTCAACATTTCTGGGTGGGTAAACTAGAAAAAAATGATTTGAAAGCTCTGGAGAGACTACAAATAAGTGTTGATAACACTGGCTTAGACCATAGCTAAATTCTGTATAAGCCAGGTACCTGTGTTCTCATTTTGATTTCTTTTATTCCCCAGTCAATATTCTTAAATGTTTATCTATTGTGCTAGGTATGTACATACCAGAAATGAAAGAAAATAAGAAGTGAGAAGTTATGATTCAACTTTTTCACATTTTTTTCTAGTATAAGTCATAAAACCTAGTGGTAGATTTACTAATTTGTCCATAATATTCACTTGATGCACCCTAGATAAAATCTACGCAAAAACTGATGCACCCACCCATAGCAGGGTGTCAGATCTTTGAAGCTGACTACATAAATACTTTATTTCTTTTTCTTTGCAGCTACAAATGGAACAAATTCCACTCTACACATTGTCATTGGGTGTCTTGTTTAGATTTTGCATTGTCTGAACATCTGTTGTGACCAATTGCATAAGTTTGGAATCCTATTGACCTGGGACACTATTTGTGTTACCATAGGGATTAAAGAAATCCAGATTGTGTCTTCCAGTAGTGTTGTTGGCCCTAATTCTGGGTGAGTAAAATTTTGTTTTGGAAGTGGCATCCTCTGTAATGTTTTGGTTTTGGAGGTGGTGCCAACAGAAAGCATAATTAGAAGGAATGCATGTACTCCCTCTTGTCTGGTCAAAGAACTATAATGACCTTAGTCATCTCCATCCTCAGCTGTCTCAACTGTGTTTCCCAGTCTTAATGATTACAGATTTATGTGGGCATTAATTACAGAGATAAGAAGATATTTTAGCCCCACAAGTGATGTGGGTTTTGCCTCCTTCATAGAAATGCTAATGCTTATACTCTGTAACACATATATATCTATATATATGGTAGATAGCTTGGCCTTATTTTTCAAGAGTATATCTCAGTGTGTGGCTTCAGAGTTCTATCCCAATTTGGAGAGGCAAAGGGATGCTTATGCTGTGGGTCCATCATCATCATCATCATGGATGGCCCTCAGAATTCTCATTCTATATAAGACTCAAGCACACAGATGGAATGGACAACTGAGTAGCTTTAGGCTGCCTATATGTGTGTGTGTGTGTGTGTGTGTGTATACACACACACATACATACATACATACATACATACATACATACACACACACACATACAGATGCACACAAGAGAGCTAGAAGGAATGATAAAAGAAGTTAACAACTGTCTAAGAAATTTTAGTCTACATTTACAAACTCACTCTACAAAAAATGTAGAGGTATTACAATATAAAACTTTTTATATTTTTGTATTGTAATGCATCCATATATTTGATACATTTATAAACAGACTCTGAAATTTAAGAAGTAGCAAAATGCAAAAAATAATAACAGTAGTTTTAAAAATTCTTTAAATATTTTTTTCCTCTTTCTGTCACAGTCAACAAACACAAGACTTTTCAAAACATTAGCATTTGCCCTGCAGGAATCAAACTGACAGTATATAAGGGGGATTTAAATAAGACTGCACGTTGGATGTATAAATGAAAATTATACTTTGGTCTGTCTTGAATCAGTGATTGTTTTTTCAGGTTTCCAAAATATTTACTTTCAAATTAGTCTATTTATTACTTCAGAAGGAGACAAATGCATAATGCATTAGTAACACTTAGTCAGTATACCCTTGTAACACCTTCCTGTGCTTTGGAGTAGAATATGTGACATGAATTTTATTTGTTAGGTATGCAAAATATGTCTGACAAATACATATGTATCCAACAAGGATACTGTAACTTGAACTGATTAACATTAAATAAATCTCCATATTAAAAATTAGGATCTTGGTTACATTATATTATTACGTATAACATTATTATTTATCAGAATAGGTTCTTTTTATCAGTTGGGTTCAAACACGGTGAAACATTGCAAAGTCCTGATTTTGTTTATGATAATGAACTTGCTTAAAATTCTTTTATTGAAATCATTAGGTATTAACATCCAGATCCTTAGCACTTCGCCCTTTATGACCGGCTATACATAATTACATATAACTTGGTTCCAAGAAGAAGATATTTTATGCTATGACACTCACATTATGGAATTAATTTCACCTAAGATTAAGTTAGTCCTGACCCTACTGACCATTTGGAAGACACTAAAAACTTAGTTTGTGGCCGGGCCTGGAGCCCCAGGAGCGTAATAAAACCTGTCACTTGGTTTTATTGATAGTTATTTAAGAAACTCAACTGCTATGTGGTTTTTTATTTTATATTAAGTATTTTAACATACTATTTTTATTTTTTAAATCTATTTTATTTTAAGCTATCAAGAATCATTTATGTAAGATAAGCATCTACACAAATTAAATAAATTAATAAACAATACAAAAATGACTTATGTGAACATGCTGTCCAAAGAATGGATTCCCCTCTAGAAATCTCAACAAACTAATCTCGTGAATTGTCTCAAAGCCATTCTTAAAAAAAAAGGAATGCTATTAAAATCATTCTGCAAATATCAACATTTTTCTACCTGGTCTCAAGTGGCACATTGCTATTCAGCACCCAGCTATCCTGTAACTGAACAGATTCAGGAGTGGTGGCCAAATCATTTGGTGCAGGAGCTGGTGCATGGATCTGGTTCCGCCGATTTGTTAAGGAATTCCTGTTGAGGGAGTTGGCAGAAGAATGATGATGAGATAGAGTATGATTGTGAGGTGGGGGAAGAGGTGGTCTCAGAGTTGACTGGCTGTGATGATTTGAAGGCCCTAGAAAGGAAAAAGAGAAACAGGAAATATCTCTGAATTATCCAATCTTTAAAAAACAATTAATCCTAAACCTTTAGGTCAAAACTACATTATACTTAGGTAGTTATACCACATAGGTAGGCTTAGGACTGCATTTCAAAAGAAATAGACCAATTTCAGCATTTGCAAATATGACCCTTAAATCAATAGCTGTCATGTAATTTGTTATATAATCCTTCCCTCCTTGTATTACAAACTAATTATTTCCTTAAACACATTCCAAAGTTGTGAAAGAGGAAAGAAGTTTAGCAACTTGTGAATTAGTTACATGCTAGTCCTGAGGATGTTTGAATCTATTAACTTCCTCAATACAAGATTGTTTATAAATGCAACGTCTACTCCTTAACAAATGAAAGGAAGACATAAATATACTAAATAAAACAAAGCATATCATACAGGTATTAGAGGGAAAATAAACAGAAGTTAATAAGCTTACAAAATGTGTTAACAGTCTCTTTTGTATCAACCAAGTTGAATAATTAGATAATGTTATTATGTTCATATATTCCTATATTATTTGAGTCTGAAAATGAATTAAAGGCAATATAAGAAAAAAAAAAGCATAACAGACAAGTGAAATATTAATTGTACATTTAATCATTATACTAACTTGTAATTTATATAGAGAGGAATAATTAGAAAAAACAACATTAGCAAATCACAATTATAATGATATATGTTTAGTTTGAGAAACTTGAAGATACATTTTGTATTTAATGAATCAAACTGTGACAGAAAATGTCAGCTGAGGAAAGTGTTCATAGTTAAATTGATCTGTACTTCTGTGGAACAATAGGAAGATGCATTCCCTAGACTATTTTAAAAATGTGAATGTATATAAATGAATATGTAATGGTCTCTTTAAAACCAGAATGAAAGATCTGGTAGGTAACCAAATGAAAACTTAAATTATTTTTAATCACACCTATTGTAGATCTATCTGGACCAAGTTTGCAAGTTGAAAGTTAAAAGTTCAGATTTTAATGTTATGAGTTCCCGCTGAATTTCCTCAGTACAGAGACTTCTCAAAGGACCAAATTCTGTAATTTTGTGAGAGGAACTACAATTTCATACACTTACCAATCCATAAGAAGTTTCAAATGGATAGCATCTGAATTGGGGAAATGTTTTTCAATTTGTCAATAACCATCAGAATATTATAGCAATAGCACCCTTGCATCAAAACAAATATATGCATAAAAGGGCCAATTTCCCCTTTGCTCCAATCTTCCTATTTGTTCCTCCTTATAAGGTGAATTGTCATATCAGAGTTGAAGGAGAAAATAATCTTGCAAACTGGTGGAGGAAAATTCAGCAAATGTGGAGCTTTACAATGGCTGGTAAGAGAATTACATTAATTAACTGTATACACATTTACCTGGATCTAAACCATTGTGCCCATTTGTATCTAGAGAAGATGAAAGCAGGAGTGAGAAGGATAGACTGTCAGATCCCTAGATAAAAGTATGTCCTGTGGTAAAACTACATTTATTTCTATGAAAATTTGAGTAAGAAATGATATCAGAAAAAGTATTATTCACAGGTTTCATTCATTGAGTAGAGAACACATACACACACACACAAACCCAACATTTAGAGGAGTATAGTATAATAGCAGCTGCTGTTTTCAATCAGCTTATATTCTCCAATATGAAGAAGAAGCATCAGCATCATCAAGGAAGGGAGTTTAGAATATGTCCTGATGAAAGAAAGCTACAGTGCTTTAAATCTTTTGGTGGCTTGACCTCTCAAGTGACAAAGCGGATTAAGACATAAAGACAAAAAGAAAAAGATAAATTCTTATTTACAGTATGACTAATCGCAAAAGAAATACAAAAAGTCATGTTACAGAGAAATAGGTTTTTATAAAGTAATTATAGTCAAAATGTGTTCTGTTCTCTAAAAGGTCCCAAATTTCCTCATTTACATCACCGTGCCATACAGAACATTCAGTCTTGAAGAATGGTGAAACAAAAAGATCTTTTAAATAGTAAAAAGAGGTCCAGGATATGTTTAAAATGAATACTACTTTAACTAAATATATGCCTTTTGAAATATACTCTTTAAGGGAAAAAAGAAGTAGCCAAAATGTTTCTGAAATCATCCTTTAACTTTCTTTTCTCTGGGCCCATCAAAACTAAAATGTGTTTTGGGATTTCTTTTTAAGGACTACAAGATAAGCTATTTTTTTACTCATTTTTATTTCACTGTGAAACATGGCTAGAGCTTGGTAATTTTACAGAGTTTAAGCCAGTGGTGAAATTCTCCGTGGTGAGTTGTGGTGAATTGCCACCGGTTTGCTGCCCGCGCATGTGCGGTGTGTGCCAAATGCGGGCTGCATGCCAAATGTGCACTGTGTGCTGCACACACATGCACAGTGCATGCCAAACTCACACGTCACGCGGAAAAAGGAGGCTTATAGTAAGTAGAAAAGTGAGGGGGGATACAGCTGTGCCACGTGATTTCCTGCTTTCTAGCAAATATAAATTGTGCGGCAGAGCTGATCGTTGGAAATACCGGTTCAGATGAACCGGTAGCTTTTTTTTACTACCAGTTCGCCTGAACCAGTCTGAACCAGTAGCATTTCACCCCTGGTTTAAGCTGTCCTTTAAATAATCAAGTATAACCTCCTGCTCACTGCAAGAATCCACAGTGAAGCACCTCCGTTAGATGATTCTTCATTCTGTAGTGAAATACATCCAGAAAAAGATCAACACAGCTATAGAAAGAAAATTCTCATATGTATTGTTATTGTGGTTGCTTCTTATTATTGCATAGTAAAGCCAATACTGACAGATCAATTTTAGATTACAAACATTTCTAAAACTTTGGAATTGTTAGTGCTCTCCGAGCTTGATTGTTTGTTTTCAGATGTTTCATTACTCAATGACATAACATCACCAGTGTGAGTGAGGGTGTGAGTGAGATTACAAATGCCATTTTATTAAGGCTTATGATCAAAGAAAAGCTATTTGGAGATTATAGAAAGCAGCATAAATTAGCATAAAGTAAAAGTCTAGAAAGTATTATTAAAAATAAAAAAAAAATTAAACAGCTCTAAATGGGCCAGTCCTTCACTATTTCCAGGGCATGCCTGCAGGCCACATCTAAGGACCCCGCAGGCTGGATTTGCCCCGTGGGCCTTGAGTTTGACACCCCTGCTCTATGCCATAATTGATTCCATTTTGGTGGATTGTACAGTATTTCATTTTTTCCCTCCTTAAAATTCCTGAAAGACTTATATTTAAGGCAGTTAGAAGATTTTTTTTAAGAGTCAGAGAATATAACACTAAGGGAATAAACTTTAAAAAAAATACAGTCATATCATCCCTTTAACTTCCCTTTGCTCTTCTACAAATCCCGCTGTAGCCAATTTTTGGCTAAAATTCTAGTTTGTTGATATTTTTTCAGATGAAAATATTAGCTGAGCATTCTTGAGAATCTGATTGCTCTCTAGATGGTTCATGAGGGACCCCGAAAATTGCCACAGTGATGTAAGAATAATTGTGTATCTCTTCCAGCTCATTTGGAAAATGAGCAGTGGCACCAAGTGTCTGGCATCCAGGATGAAAAATTCTAGAACTGGGTGCACAATAGTCTCCCCTCCCCCTCACAATAGTGTTTTATGAAACTCAGACTTTCTATAATAAGTCTACAGTAGGCAATTGTACAATAGCACAAGACAGAAACACTCTTCAGTTGCCACTTTAAGAGAATTTATGAACGTCACACTTTGAATTTCTCCCAAACACAGCGATTCTGAAGGAAAAAAAGAGATGGATATACATTAACTCAAATGCAAACAGGGGCCATATGGAGGTCAGGGCTATAAAACTCCAAGAGAAAATCTTTCTCTACCAAATCTATTTGCATCAGAAAGTATTGACAATGGGGGAGAGCATTTTCATAATGTAAGTAGTAATGATGGGGATGAATGATACAAAGGTGAGGGACAGTGGCCAATTTTGCTCAGTAAGGAGAGATGGTTAAACTCTTCCTCATATTCCTCAACTATTAGATAACTGTATTCACTATGCCTTATAAATAATACAGATGTTAATTATGTTTTATGTGGTCATCAAATCCTTTCTATTACTCACTGTTTACTGTAATACAAGAGGTCTTATTTTATTATCATTATATCTGGATAGCTGAACATTCATGGAACTTTTTCTACCTTTATATTTTTCAGACGAAAGCCATGAAAGCATAATTAGGTTCAGCTATTGCACATAATGAATATAAACATCCAATACTTAACTATAACTTGTCATCTGTTCTGTCCTTCCCAGCTTCTGTGGCTAGGAAGCGATTGACCTGTGATTTGTTTACAGTTAAATGTGCTATTTAGAGGTATCCTTTATCCTGAATTCAGATGACATTATGGGTGTCTACAGAAGGGATGAAGAGGCAAAATATGTATTGTGAAGCAAGCTCTGCCTCTTGCTCTGCCACAATCAAATATGTTAGGGACAGAGCCTGCACTGCAATAATATATATACAGTAGATGTTTGTGTTTAATGTCAGCTCTTATTTCACTATTCAATTATCAATTCTATCAGGACCCTTAGTACAGTGGTGGAATCCAATTTTTTTTACTACTGGTTCTGTGGGTGTGGCTTGTTGGGCATGGTGTGGCTTGTTGGGCGTGGCTTGATGGGCATGGCAGGGGAAGGATATTGAAAAATCTCCATTCCCACCCCACTCTGGGGACAGCCAGAGGTGGAATTGCCGGTTCTCTGAACTACTCAAAATTTCTGCTACAGGTTCTCCAGAGCCTGTCAGAACTTGGTGGATTTCACCCCTGCCTTAGTATAACTTTTTAAGAACAAGATCTTATTTAGCTGTTTTCTGTTTATGTCAGATTATTTAAATTTTTAAGCTTAAAATATTTCTTTGATTGAGGATTAAAGGCACACTTATCCAATGTTTTCAAAGTTCTCATTATGACTGTCTCTAATAGCTTAGAAAACATTAATAAACAATTTCCAAAATTGCAAATTGATTGATGAGAAATTGACATCTGTGAATTTAGTGTTCTTTAAAAAGTCTCTGTTGCAGTTGTAAGCAAGAAGGCTAATCCTGTTATTTCCAGCACTCAAACCCATGGAAAACCATTGCCCAGAGGTCTCATTGTGAGGATCAACTGTCTGGAGCATATATAGGTGATCTCTCATCCTCTCCTTATCCAGAATGGATTCAAGGAATTAATCTGCTCACCAATTCCTTGGTCTTTGCCACAATCATCAACTCCAGCTTCACTCCCTAGAAGCTCTGAGATAGTTTCTTTACTAGGGCTGAGCAAAAATATTTTGCTATCTTCCATGAAATTTTATTTCAATATGGCTTTGGAAAGTGTTCCATTATTCCACTAAGCTAATATTTCAGTTTTATCCTCCAGTACCCAGTCATGTGAATCATCTATTTCATTCTACCAAACAAAATTTGTGAGTTTTTCGTATTTTCCACGTTCCTATTGTATTTTGAAACAGTATAGTAAAAGACAAGTCTGCAATATTTTACAATTTTCTTCTTGCCCTATTATTTCTTATTCCATTTTTAACTCTATAATGCTGTTTTTCACCAACTACTGTTTCAGCAACTTCTAGACTTCAAATCCCAGAAGTTGCCAAGGATGAGAAACAGTGTTCTATAACAAGAAATATGGAGATGATTCCAATATACTTGCATTTTCTTTAATTTGGCATCTTTCTCTGTTCTCACATTTCTAGAATAAGAGTACACTGTGAGGGGTGGAAATATCTCCGTCTTATGAAAATGTTTTTCATTCTCAAAAATATCATAAAACAAACATTTTGTGCTGGCTTGAAACTCAACACTTAAAAAAAAATTAAGATCATGGCATTTGGTCTCATCACTTGCTGGCAAATAGAAGGGGAAGAAATGGAAGCAGTGATAGATATTATTTTCTTGGGCTCCAAGATCACTGCAGATGGTTACTGCAGCCATGAAATTAAAAGACACTTGCTTCTAGACAAGATATTAAAAAGCAGATACATCACTTTGCTGACAAAGGTCAGTATAATCAAAGCTTTGGGTTTTTTCAGTAGTAATGTATGACTGTGAGAGTTGAATCATAAGGAAGGCTGAGTGTCAAAGAATTGATTCTTTTGAACTGGGATGTTGGAGAAGGCTCTAGAGATTCCCTTGGACTGCGAGGAGATCAAATCAGTCAATCCTAAAAAGCTATCAACCCTAATTGCTCTTTTTGAAGGACAGATCAAAAGCAGAAGGGTCGTGCTGAGGATTTTGTGCAATTCCTGCATGATAAAGTCGCTCGGATTCGGGAAGGCTTGGACTCTGACTGGGTGAGTCCAGGGGGGGGAGGGGAGAAGGGGGTAGGTCTTGAGAATATTATCTGGGAGGAGTTTGATCCTGTGGCTCCCGAGGATGTGGACAGGGTTCTGGGTAAGATTAGTGCTGCCACATGTTTATTGGACCCTCCTGGTTGGTACTGGCCTCCCAGGAGGTTACACGAGGCTGGCTCCAGGGGATTATAAATGCTTCTCTGAGTGAGGGTGCCTTTCCCGCTGCCTTGAAAGAGGCGGTGGTGAGGCCCCTCCTCAAGAAGCCATCCCTGGACCCGGATGAATTAGTCAACTACCGTCCGGTCTCCAACCTTCGTTTTGTGGCGAAGGTTGTTGAGAGTGTGGTGGCACGACAGCTTCCCCAGTACCTGGATGAAGCTATCTATCTGGACCTGTACCAATCGGGCTTCAGGCGCGGGTACAACACAGAAATGGCATTGGTTGCATTGGTGGATGATCTCTGGAGGGCTCGGGACAGGGGTTGTTCCTCTGTCCTGGTCCTATTAGATCTCTCAGCAGCTTTTGATACCATCGACCATGGTATCATGCTGCAGCGGTTGAGGGGGTTAGGAATAGGGGGCACAGTGCTGCAGTGGTTCTCCTCCTTCTTCTCCAACCGCTCGCAGTTTGTGTTGGCAGGGGGGCAGAGGTCGACCTCGAGGCGCCTCGCTTGGGGAGTGCCGCAAGGGTCGGTCCTCTCGCCCTTTCTGTTCAACATTTATGTGAAGCCGCTGGGCAAGATCATCCATGGTTTTGGGGTGAGAGTTCATCAGTACACTGATGATACTCAGCTGTACATCTCCACCCCAGACCACCCCAATGATGCCCTTGATGTGATGTCTCGCTGTGGAGGCTGTGCGGGTCTGGATGGGGAGAAATAGGCTCAGACTCAAACCTGCCAAGACCGAGTGGCTGTGGCTCCCGGCGTCCCGATATAGTCAGCTGGTGCCATCGCTGGCTATTGGGGGTGAATCTTTGCCCCCCACAGAGAGGGCTCGTAATCTGGGTGTCCTCCTGGATGCACGGCTGTCTTTAGAAGAGCATATGACATCCGTGTCCAGGGGGCCTTTTTATCAGGTTCACCTGATTTGCCAGTTGCGGCCCTTTCTGGACCGAGATGCCTTGCACATGGTCACTCACGCCCTGGTCACCTCCCGGCTGGACTACTGTAATGCTCTCTACATGGGGCTCCCCTTGAAGAGTACTCGGAGGCTCCAACTGGTCCAGAATGCGGCCACGGAGTTGGTTATGGGCGCAATTCGTTGTGCCCATGTGACACTTCTCCTGCGCGAGCTGCACTGGCTCCCAGTAGTCTTCCGGGAGCAATTCAAGGTGTTGGTCACCACCTTTAAAGCGCTCCATGGCTTAGGACCCGGATACCTTTGAGACCGACTTCTGCCATTAGTAGCCTCCCACCAGCCAGTCTGCTCCCACAGAGAGGGACTTCTCAGGGTGCCATCGGCCAAGGTATGTCAGCTGGCGACACCCAGGGGGAGAGCCTTCTCTGTGGGAGCTCCTGCCCTGTGGAATGAACTGCCCCCGGAATTGCACAAGATCTCCGACCTCCGTGTATTTCTCTGTGCCCTCAAGACCCCGCTGTTCCACCAGGCCGGGCTATCAATGTAAAGGATTTTAAATTGGGTGTTTTAAATTTTTGGGTTTTAATTTGGCCGAAATTATTTAATAATTTTAATTATTTTTTAAATGATGTCTGTATATTTTTGTGTTTTTAATAGGCTGTACACCACCCTGAGTCCTTCGGGAGAAGGGCGGTATAGAAATAAAATTATTGTTGTTGTTGTTGTTGTTGTTGTTGTTGTTGTTGTTGTTGTTATTATTATTATTATTATTATTATTATTATTATTATTATTATTATATACTGAAGCTGAAGTTCAAATACTTTGGCTGCCTAATACAAAGAGAAGACTCACTGGAAAAGACCCTGATGCTGGGAAAAATTGAAGGCAAAGGGTTAAGGGAACAGCAGAGGATAAGATTGTTAGGTAGTATAATTAATGCAATAAACATGAAGTTGAGCAAATTCCAAGAGAGTTTGCTCAAGTTCCAAGGAGAGAGTGGAGGACAGGGGCCCTAGTGTACTATGATCCATGAGATTGCAAAGACAGTCATGACTTAGTGATTTAACAACAACAAAAAGCATCTTCTGATACAGAATTTAATTCCACACGGGGATATATCCCAACAATTTGTAAAATTCAACTCTCACAGCTATAGGTTACTACTGAAAAAAATCCACAGCTTTGATTATACAGACCTTTGTCAGCAAAGTAATGTCTCTGTTTTTTAATTTGTATCTGTACAAATCTGTAATTTGCAATGCTATTCACATATAACTTTAAACCATCTGCAGTCCACAGAGCTCACCTATTATGACTTTGTATTATGTGTGAAACAAGCACCATGGTAAATGGTGAAATATTCACCATATTCAGTAAATATTCAAATAGCCAAAGTGTTAAAACAAGAGCAGAAAACAACTACATTTAATCTGTCTTGCTTAAAATGAAGCACTATATGTTATTTTCAAATCTGTATAATAATTCATTTCTTTGTACTACCTTGAGGGAAAAAATATCGAAAATGGAAGAGACTTTTCTAAAATTAATTAGAAACTGTCTATAAATAAGCTGTAATAATTAGCAAAATATACAACAGTCAACCCATGCCAGATTAACTGGGGAAATAGGCTCATTTCTTTGTTTCATGCCATCTCTCTCTCTCTCTTTTTTTTAGCCATTATAGTATATCATCTGGAAGTCATAATTTTGCAGAGCCTATTAAAATTTTATTTTCTTTCATATACAGGTTTTGTTGGAAAATTAAGTGCCACCTTTTTCGATAAATCAGCACTAATTGAAGCATTTTGCCAACTTCTGGAAAAGGAACTAGTTGAACAGTATGAATTAGTTTGGGGGAGTTTTGATAATTTTCAGGATGTACAGAAGATTCATTTGATCTACAGCATCTGCAGTGAAAAGGATTCTAAAATTATTGGCACGACTAGCTGTGATTGTGGTTCAAGAAAAGGAAATGTTCCTCTAAAGGAACTTCTATTATTAGAAATATATTTTCATTATCTTCCAACGTTTACCTTCATAGAAAATTTGAATTCTTCTTGTTCCCGTTTATATTTATTTCATTTAGGAATAAAATCATTTCATGTCTTTACATTCACATAATTTCAGTAGAAGGAAATAAAAGCTAGGATGAAAAACATAATATGATAATAGACACATGGGCAGAAGAATACTATTGGACATTTTTCACTAGAACAGAAAGTATAAATAGTTTCACCTATGAACTGAACAAGTAAAACACCTTACATTCATCAGCAAATACTACATATGGAGCAACATATTTATTTATATTAAACCTTCATTATTTTTAATAAATATTTCAAAGCATCAAACACACACAATATTCATCGATCTTCCTATTTTCTCCACAACAACCCTGTGTTGTGAATTGGTCTGAGAGAGAATAACTGGCCCAAAGTCACCCAGCTGGCTTTCATGTCTAAAGGCAGGAGTAGAACTCATACACTCCTGGCTTGTATCTGGTGCCTTAAGCACTAGACTAAACCGGCTCTCTCAATATATCTATACACTTCACTTATTAAATACTAAACATGTGTTCTTGTTGATTAAGTATACATTATATTTGTCAGATTACAAGGATTCTAGAAAAACACGAACAGAACTTGGAAGCCTGATGTTAGTCTACTTCTGCAATATGTACTTATTTCTATTGCAATACATTATATTTCTAGTAGCATTTTTATGGTTAAAGGTTTTATTTAGGGGAAAGGTTTTATTATAGTTCTGAGAAGACAAGAAAGAATAAAAATGATGACGGAGTTCAATTCTTTGGATCAAATGGTGGGAGGCAAATCTGACGCACAGTAGTCATTAGTACTCGCAATAACTGAAGCTAGTTAGAAAAAGGGCATGGGCCTGGAAGATAAAATTTTGGAATAATTCTACTAGAAAGCATGGTCTGAAGCAGTAAACTTTTTATTGCTTGACTAACCTTTGCCCAAATTTCTCAAAGTACATGGCTCTTGGGGAGGGAGGCACATGCTTCTTATATTTCATAACAAAGGGTCACTTTAATATTATAATCAGACTGCGTTATAGAATAACAATATGAGTGACCTTTGATGCGCTTAGTTGTTTTCTTGCAGAAGTTTCTTCTTCAAATTAGGTAACTTTATCAGTGCCAGTAGGGGTGGGGTTTGCTCTCAATTGATATTCTGGTGGCTTACCCTGTCAGTGTTGGTAGGAGTGATCTTGGTGGAGGGTTTTTTTTGGTTCGGATATTTGTTGCTGGCTTGTTTAGCAGTTCTTTGATTGGGGTAGTGTTATTACCACTTTCACTTCTTGGTGTTAATCTATGCTTATCTGATTGTTTATTGCTGGTGGTGAGGTACTTTGGTCTTTTTGCTTCCTTTTCAGCTTGTTGATTGTCTTTTTCATATGTAGATATCGTTTATGATTATATGTCTATTGATGACCAATTGTCAGAGTGCCAGGCTTCCAAGTATTTTCTTGTGTTTTTGGACTTGGCTTGGTCTAGGATAGTCACAGTCTTCCATATGAAACCATGGTTAAGACTCTCCATACAGTATATTGTGAAATTGAAGAGTAATCATCATGTCTTCTTGATTGCTAGTTGGATGTGTTCTGCCAGCCTCGTCCTGTTTGTCCTACATAGAGGCTACTGTAGTCTTTATACTATATGTTGTAGACGACTCCTGTTTTTTTTTTCTTCAGGGATTGCTGCATCTTTTAGTTTATTTAGAGATGTTTTGGAGATACTTTAATTGGTTTGTGTGCTACACTGATGTAATGTGATTGAAATAGTCTGTTGGTGGTTTCTGAGATGTTTTTGATGTATGGCAGTGTTATTTTTTTTACCACTTGAATTGTGCTATATTGGGTTGAGTGGTCAAGCACTTTTTGATGAAGTTGCATGGATATCCATTTTGTTGGAAGTTGTTGTATAGATGATCTGTTTCCTTGTTCTGATGTACAGGGTTGCTGCAGTGTGTTTGTGATCATCTAAGTAGTGTTCTTACATAGCTTCTCTTGTGGGAGACTGGGTTATTACTTTAGTAGTGGAGTACTTGGTTGGTGTGGGTGGGTTTTTGGTACACTTGTGTTTCTAATTTGTCATCGTAGTCTCTGCTGATAAGGCTATCCAGGAATGGTAGGGTGTTGTTGTTTTCTTTTTCATTTCTGATGTGGATTCATTTCAAGATATTGTTGATGGTTTTGTGGGTGTTTTCTAATTGGTCCTTTTTATTATGGCAGATGTGCCATCTATGTACCTGATCAATATTTTGGGTTGTATGTGTGGGAGTGCTACTGATTTCAGACATTGTTCTTATTACTGCAATCATGAGTTCTGTAATCAGAGATCCCATGGGTGTATCTTTGATTTGTTAATAAGTTTGTTGTACTGAAAGTATGTGGTTAGAAGAATGTTGAAGAAGATCTATGATTTTGGGTGTTTCAATCTTAGTGTATTTGATTAGGTTGGGTGTGGTCTATGGAAGTGAAAAAGTCTGTGACATCAAATGATACCAGGATTTAATCCTCATGTATTGTCACATCTTTGATTCTTTTAAGATACTATAGTGTGGAATTGATGGAGTATTGGTTTTCCACTGTGAGGCACCTAAAGATCCAGCAGCCCAGAAGAAAAAACAATAGTTGTCTACAAACATACAATGTAATGACTGCAAGAGTCACTGCGTAGGACAAATAGGCAGAAGACTTGCAGAACACATCCATGAATATAGTCAGCAGTCAGAAGACATGATGAAAACTCTTCAATTTCACGGCATATGAAGACACTAATCATGGTTTCATCTGGAAGACTGTGACCATCCTAGACCAAGCCAAGTCCAAATATATTGAATTCCTGGAATCTTGGGACTCTGACAAATTGGCCACCAATAGACATGTAAACATAAATATAATCTATATTCTATGCAAAAGAGACAATCAACAAGCCAAAAAGGGAGCAAAAAGACCAAAACATCTCCCCACCAGCAATCAACACCCATATGACCATAGATTAAACCAAGATTTAACCAACAAACAAGAAGTGAACAATACCCCAATTAAAGAATTGCCAAACAAACCAAACAGTAAACAGCCTATCCTCCCCCCAAAAAAGTTCACTCCCACCAACACTGAAAAGCAAAACAATAGAATAAAAATTGAGAGCAAACACTACTCCCTACTGGCACTGATGATGTTACCTAGTTTGGGTAATGAAATGTCTGTAAGAAAACAACCAAGCTCAGAGAGCACAAAGGATGACAATGTGCAATGTCATTGTATCAAAATTACATATACAATACATACTGTATGGTATAAATATCACACTACCTCAGACTTTTCCAAGATCTTTAAATTTCCACAGGGCTTATTCTTTTCTTACTGACTTGGGGATGGAAGCAAATAACTCTTACTATAACATATATAACTTCTTGTATTTAGTTGTATAGCTAAATATATGATTTTTATAATTATAAATAGGATTTTTATAATTATACCATATGCTTGGAGTTCAGATGGACAGCAACTCCTAAATGTGTATTTGTGTATCTCTCCATAAATGGTTTTAATTTGCATACTCTTGCCTTATAAACAAATCTTTATCTTAGGAAACTGTTGTCAGAGAAACTATAAATCATAATATAATTAGATGACAAGCTTAAATGGAATATAATAGTTCAAACAAGAGCTATATATGCTCATGATGCAATATGAATCATATAACATCTTTATAAACATTTATGAAGGGTTTATTTGGAAAGATGTTAAACAAGGCAATGTATTGAAAAGTATTTTTGTATTCATGACTTGACTTAACTACACATTCATAACCAAACAATGAACTTAAAAACTCTGTGAAAATTGGTACTTTAGGACAGGGTTGGCCAGATGTTCAATTTGGTGGATCTACTTTATTTTTTAATTAAAATCTCGCTAAAATCAGGTTTAAAGAAGCAAAGCAACATGTTTAAAAATTCAAGAACAGATTGCTTCTGAATACGTAAACAGCTATATAAATCAAATAAATACATAATCAGTTGAGAATATATATATGGCTCTTTTACTCAGTTATTTATTTATTTTTCAGGTTTTATTGTCCACCTAAGTCAAAATATTGTTGTTGATGAATTGCAGCTTAAAAGAATGAATGAATGAATGAATGAATGAATGAATGAATGAATGAATGAATAAATAAATAAATAGTTAGCTAGCTAGCTAGCTAGCTAGCTAGCAACAATAAGAAATCAAGTCCCCCTTTCAAGATTGATAAAATTCAGGGTGGTATGCCTGTTGAAATAAAATTGTTTTCTAAAAATAATGAACCTTGGCTTCTGGCTGTGCTTCTTAATACCAGGCCTCCCTCCTTAGTGATTTAGCATTGATAAGAAAATCATCAATGTTTTACGCTTACGCAAGAAAAAATGAAAGTACAAGTACAAACCAGTGGTGAAATTCAGCCGCTCTATCCGGATCGTGTGATCCAGTAGCGCCAGCAGCGGGACACTCCGCCCACCTGCCTGGACATCATCACATTCCATTTTTGACCCTCTGTGCATGCACAGACGGCTCTGCACAAGCATGGAGGTGCGCGTGAGCATAACGAGGGTGCTCTTTCTCTCTCTCACACACACATTTGTGAACTGGTAGCGAAGGTAAGTGAATACCACCCCAGTACACACTAGGTGAAACCTGACTCATCAGTAGTAACTACGAGAGTGATCTTGGAGTCCTAGCAGACAACCATCTTAATGTGAGCCAACAATGTACGACAGCAGCCAAAAAAGCCAATGTCCTCCTAGGTTGTATAACAGGGATAGAATCAAGATCACATGAAATACTAGTACCACTCTACAAAGACTAGTTAAGACCACACTTAGAATACTGCGTCCAGTTTTGTTCACCCCAATACAAAAAAGATGCTGAAACTTTGGAAAGAGTTCAAAGAAGAACAACAAAATGATTAGGAGCCTAGAAGCTAAAACATATGAAGAACAATTGCAGGAACTGGGTATGCCTGGTCTAGTGAAAAGAAGGATAGGGGTAACATGACAGAAGTTTCCAATACTTGAAGGGCTGCCACAAGGAAGAGGGGGCTAA